CCGGGGCAGGAGGTGGGGAGCGGCGGACCTGCCACAGGCAGGGGGACCTGGGGACCTTGCCTGTCCTCCCCACCAGGACCTGGCAGCTCCAGCAGGCGCGGGGAGGGATAAAGGAGACATGCATATACACAACTGGAAATGAAGACCCAGCTCTGTGAGCAAATGGAGTTTTCTGTGGAATCAGGAGGATTTTACTGCAGAGATCCATAACTTTTTATATCAAGGACAAGACAGAGTAACAGCCAAAAGCATTACCAGGTCATCATCAGCTGGCAGAAAATACTACAGTTCAGATCTTGATTGTAACCTATGATATGAAGAGTTGCACTGTTTATACTCATCTTCCTTTCAAATTTATTCAGAGGAAAAATATTTTAAATTACTTCAAAATGATAACATAATTTGGGGAAAAACATCTAGTGATCAGTGACAGAATGAAGAGTCTGCCTACCTTGTCTTCAGAATCGCTTTTGGCTTCAGCTTTACTTGGGGAGACCTTAAATATATTTGAGAAAAAAAACCCGTCACACCCACTTATCTTTCCAGAGATCTGAAAGCTCATCTGTTTGAAACTAGCAGGTTTTTCTAGCACAAAGGTGAAAGAAGTACAAATATTACTTCCCCCCGCCCCCAGTGTGGAAAAGTTCATAACATAAAGTATTTCTTGATAGCAACCTAAAGTCAACAGCTAAAATGAAAAATATCTGGACCAAAGATGTGTTATTGACGCTTATACATCCAATTAATCCATAAAAATGAACTTTTAGAGATTTTTACAAAAAGTTTCAACATACAGAAAATATTTAAGACAGCTAAGTATCTCCAGGTCTAAAAACATCTGTGCAGAAGAGGAAGTTTCCAGAGTAGGTCATCACCCTTTGATCACAACTGCACGGTACCTACACATCTCTCTGCCACTCAAGTTACTCTCCAAGGCATCTGTTTGGCTTCACTACTTCTCAGTGCCCGTGACAGCGAGCACATTACGTTTAGCTCAGCATGTCCAGAGGGGATTTTTATAAGCAATTTAAAGCACAGCCTAGAGATGAAACGGAAAGACAAAAGCTTACCAGCGTTTTAAGGAAACTCATGACGGAGTTGTCTACTGCAGCAACTGGTTGGGGGTTGTCCTGTTTTACCTCTGCCTTGTCAGGTTGCTCAGCAGCGAGACCGTGGACACCTGCCGAGTCCTGCCGTAGGTCTTTTCGGTTGCAGTCATCTATCTCCTAAAAAAACGGGGGCAGAGTTTCCTCAGTCCTAGCTTGCTTAATTTCCAGTGGAATGCAAAAGTAACATTTGTGACTTGCATTATGTTGCTCTGAGAGTCACAACCCTAATTCCAACCATAGTTCTCCAGCCTACGTATTCAGAACAATCGAGCATTTATACATCTCTTTCCCCTCTTTTCTAATATATTCAGCATTTGCTGTTGGTTGTAGGAACATTGTTCTCAGCTACCAAGTATAACAAACACAAGTGAAGTTGCACACGGCATCCCAAACAACCGCTTTTCTCTTTTCGAGGCTGAACTTGTGAATAGGAACAAATGCTGAGATTTTGGCCTTTGACCCCTCAGTGTCCGATTGTACCGTACAAATTTTGCTTCCCATAGTGTGTATTCTGCAATTCCAGAAATAATTTTTATCTAGCAAACACAAACATGGTACAGATTAAAAGAATGAAAAAGGCAACAACCCAAAGTAATTCTTCTGAGCCAGATGGAGCTGCCTCCTTTCTTCCTGGAATTACAATTCCCAGAGCCCAGAAATAGTTTTCCAGTGCTCAAGCACTCAAAGTATGTAATATTAAGTTCCTCAGTTTCTGTTCAGACACCTAACCAAGGGTCTGTTTTTTAAAAAAAAAACACCCTCCTCTTGGACCAGTTTCGCAGAGCCCAGCACCCCTTTACACTGAATTCACCTGCCATTCTGGCCACTTCCCCCTTGAGCCTGCAGAGGCAAAGCCAACACCAATGTCGTGCAGGACAGCGCAGCTTGGGACGAGTCCTCCTGCCCCATTCAGCATTTCCTTTTTTTAATATTTGAGAGTACTACATCTGGCCAGTAATGTCTAAGTCTGTTATCAATGATCTTCTTCCCTTGTGTCTATCTGTCTACATCGTAAGTACAGGGCTGGATGTGTTAATTATTAAATTGTGCGTAGCACGATGGTGGCCTCGACTTTGGTAGAGGATTTGAGACATTGTCAAACGGACAATCATAGCAGTGCCATAAGTCTTCTGCAGAAGTTATCATCCCCAGCTATTTAGACAGCCACACACATCTGGTCACTTAGGAAACCCTGGCTGAAGAAGCAGCAGTTCGGATACTAGATGCCCAGATTACTCCAGAGGAAAAATTAGGACAAGAAATAAAACAGATGAGCCTGTCTGGGTGTCTCCAGTAAACAGCATCTTTCAGTCACAGCCTCTCAAAGAGTGCCTGGAGGTTTAAACTACACCAACGGTTTTTTTCCTCACCTGCCAATTAGACATACTTGTTCAGTGCCATTTTTACTAGGAAAATTTTAAATTGTACTCTTGAGAACCTTTCCCTGTACCAGGAGATTTAAAAACAATATTTGTATAGGATTTGCAGAGGACATACATTTCTGTAGGTCACTAAAGGAATGAGTAGACTAAGATGCATGAGTTAGAACTTCAGAAGGCTAATTTGGCATTAGGAAAGACAACCACGAAGTGGCCAGTCTCCATGCAGCAGTTAAGGAGTTAAAATACACAAGGTTTTACTTGCAAGAACAGACTCCCGTCTAATTCTCCACCCACCATTTTCCAAGTTTACCCGGGAAGAAGCACAGCACAGTAGTTCAGAGTCCTTCAACGGGCTTTTCAGAAGTTTCTTACGCGGGTCTAACACAGCACTTTGTCCAGCTGCCAGTCACGGGCCAGAGCGGCTCCAAGAACAGCACGTCCCGCGCAGAACACGCGTGGCCACGCCGGCCCTGCTTCCCATGGGAACGGCCGGCTCTAGTCCAGACATTAAAGGGGCAACAAAGGCGCGAGGCAAGAGACCACAGAAGCAGGAGGCAGAAGATACGTTGCTAAGCAAAACCAGCTTCATTACTGAAGACCTTAATGCTATCAAACTCTTCACCACTTGATGTTATCAAACAAAAAATAAGCAAACTATTTTTCACCCACGGAAGCCAAGCCCTGGTGTTGGAGGAAGGCGTCTTTCTGCCGAGCAGCGAGCGAGCACAGCTGTTAGCAGCAGCAGGTACCACCGGCACAGCTCCAGAGCTGCCAGCACGGCCCTGCCAAAGCCACGCTTTGCCCTGCAGATGCGAAAGCTGGTGCAGACCGTGCAGAGCTGGAGGCACAACGCCATCCCAAAATCCCTGAACGCCAGCGGGCCCCGTAACGACCCACGGCTGCACGGGGAGCCCCGCACCAGGATGCCCAAGCCAAGGCTGCCGTCAGCTACCGGGACACAACTCGGATCTGAACTTTGATAAATGCCGTGATCCATCCCGCGCTTTCGTGGGAACACTGCTGGAGGAAGGAGCACAGGCTCAGGCCATCAGGGTATAAATCAGGGAGATAACGTGGAGCCCCACAATGCTGCGTTTTCAGAGCCACGGTCGGATAATCACAAAAAGCTCTGCAGCAGCTCGCTGCGTAACATGCTGCGCAAAGCCCCGGAGGTTAATAATAAAGAAAGAAAACGCTAGAAATAAATAGAAGAAAGTCAGTATTGGAAGTTAACAGATACTGTGTAAATGTTCAATTCATTTCTTTGGGGAGCCAAATTTGGGAGTAATAAACACCTTAAATACTGTAGTTTCAGTTCAGTCATTAGAAAAGCATATCAAAAGAATGTATTCCTGCCAGCACTTTTGTTTGTATGAATCATGGCTCAGTGAAACATTTCAGGCATATAATTTATCTTTTCTTTGGCTTACATAGTAAATGCTTCATGAATTCATGAATTCTGTCCTTGTTTTAATTATGCTGTGTTCTGAATGTAGTTTTGTAGACCACAAAAATAAAGAGTGGTTCACCAAACACAGAATGTTTGTGCAGCTCTTAAGCTACAACTGTGGAGCCTCTCTCTTACTTACCAGCAATGCTGTTTGTTTTGTGTTGGCACTCAGCTCAGGGAAACTTCGCATTGCTTTTAGCTTTTACAGATACTACAAGTCGCAATCCACCCCAAAAAAATAAAAAAGAAACTGTTGGCAGCAATATCTGGATTTTTAGTATGATTATTTGGTCACAGTAACAGCAATTAAATTAGAGTTGGTCATTCTCCCATCCTACATGAGAACCAGCAACCTTAGAGGGAACAGAGGGCAACTGTGCTGCAAGGCAGAGCCACAGCCTTTGTTTTAGAAATGGAGTTAAAGTTTGGCAACATATCAGAAGTGTTTGGTGGATATGTTTTTCTCAGAAAAGGTCCTTAACTCCTCTCTGCCCCCAAGTATGCTCCTTCTCATATTTGAACACAGACAAAAATTATAGTCCTGAAATTTGAGGATAAAGTTAAAATTTCACTCTCCCCATGATACAGTTCTGTGCCACTGTCGTTTACACTGAGCAACTTGAACCCCAATTTTGTGAGTCCTCAAGCATTTTCAGCGGCGCAGCTTGAAGCACACGTGTAAACGATGTACAGGCATCCGGTGCAACAGGAGAGCTGTCCTCACGCAGGCCCCGAAAAGCCGTGGTGTGGGCTGGAGCCCTGCAAGCACTTCACACCAACCAACCTCCCGCTGACGGGCACCGGGGACTGCCCGATTCACCCCTTTAGCGAGGTTCAGGGAGTGGATCGCTATAAGGTGAAGACTGGAACAGAACTCAAAATTAATAAGAAAGCTAGGCAGCATGGATATCAAGAAGTTTGGTTTGAACAAACAGCGCTTCTAGTATGCATTTGAACTGGCAGAATAAGATTTAGATTGCCTCGTCCCATCCCCGATGGCTCCTCGTTACAAACACTGGAGCTCTCCCAAGGTGCCTATTGCTACCAGCAAGCGTTTAACTCCGACTTCTGGCTAAAGCTACTTCAGACCGTTGTTTCATTGCAGAGTGTCACACTCCATAGTCTGCAATCACAGCAAAATAAGAAATTATAAATTTTGCATTTGACTGTAAATTTTTGTGAGCCACAGGCAAAACTTATTCTGTGTGTATTAGTCAAAAATATCTGTGGGAATTTACAGTCTTGGAAAGCTTCAGTCTCATAGCTACAAACAGAAGTGCCAGTACGCACTGAATAGATTATTCATTCTGAATTATTCACCCCGTTCTGTTTATGTAGTGAATGACTCGATATTCTGCTGGGCCGAGGCTACAGATTCTTTAAATGTGCAGATATAGCTGTCTGAAATACTAGCGACGGGTCCCACTTTTGGAGGGCAATGGTCAAAAATGCAGCTGTTTAGTTTTACAAATGGATCTTCAGAAAAATATTACAAGTTCATACAAGAAATATGATCTTCAAATTTGAGGAGGCATAATGTAGAGAAGACAAGGTGAAAGAACAGAAACGGAAGAGACCTTTGGGGACAACCTGCAATGTCGTCAGTGCAAGAAGCGAGCAACTCATGAACTGCGTTCACCGCCGTTCAAAGCACTAGCGATCATACAGCAGTCTGATTCGTAAGCCCGAACCAGGCCAATAAAAGCAGTTACGATTAAAACGGCATTTACACACCAATCCTGATGGGGGGACCATGCAGCTAGTTCCTCCCTGCTGCTCCTGACGTTGGACAGGACTTGAGCTGGATCACAGGTAGTGTGTCCTGGCACCTCTCCAGCGGAGCTAATGAGGGTTGTGCCACTTATCCCCATCCAGGAGATGGACTTTTTCAGTAGTTAATTACCTGAAAGTTAATCCTATAGTATATTTGCTGATATCAAACTTTCTAGGAAACATAAATATCTAAACTCACATCTGTGTTCAGCTCCTTTCTTTTAATTAGCGTGCTCTCTCAAGTAAGTTAATTTCTTATATGACGTTCTCATCCTGTAAAATCAATTCTAAGGACCATATTTCCTTGATTTAAAAAAATCGCAATAGCCAAGACTGCAAAAATCACTCCTGCGTAATATTCCTTATTCTGGTACATAGGGTATGCAAGAAGCAGCTATTGCCTAAGCAGAGGGACTATTTTATAAGAATGGCACAAAACATCTTAAAGCCATCCAGCGTCAAACTCCAAGTTCCTAAAGCAGAAGAAACAATTTTACTTTCAGGTATTTTTGCTTTCATTTGTAGCTGGCTGCTGTTCATCATCCTGGCACTTGGAGCCTCAGGACAGCTATCTGGCCCAAACCTTTCAGAGAAATACAAGTGAAGTTAAACTGGAGGTCAGATGCCAGCGTTCGGTCACGAAGCGGACATCAGAGCCATTGCCACTCCGCCACGGGTCCTTCTCCCATACCTCCATTCGGCCGCCCCTTCGGGGGCTTACCTGCGATAATTTTAAGAGCAACACTGATCCGTTCACACAGCCAACATGACATCAAGCTGTCCTGAGCTATTAATATTCCCAAGAGGTTTCATTAAGAGTGAAATGGATATTCCTGTTCAAACACTTGCCTTCCCCTGCGGGACGCCGTCTGACGCGCTCTGTAATCCAGCAGCCTCCTTCGCCGTGATGCGCCCGTCGGGAAGGTCTGCAGCCTGCCTTTCCTCCTGGGCATCAATTTGCCTTTTACTCCTTTCCTTTCCCTTCTCCAGTTTGAAGATCCTGTCAAAGAAGGTTACTTGTTTTGGCTCTGAGGCAGCCGCATCCTCTCCCTCAGGTGTCACCGATGTTGTGAGATCGATGTCGTGAAGCGACGCTGCCGGCGGGGCCCCGGTCAGGTTTTTATGTGCGCCTTCCTCCCGCGCAGCTGCCGCAGGAACCTCCACGCTGTCACTCGGTGCTTTGTTCGCTCCAGGCGCCTCTGAGCTGACATCAAGTTTCGCCCATCCAACTGATGAATCTGTAGCTGGGTCTTCAGTACGCCCTGGTACAGCCCATGAAAACGCGAAGACAGAGCGGGATTTAGCAGATGGCCGGGCTCTCCTGGCAGCGCTCCCGGGGCTCTGCCCGCCCGCCTCGGGGACGGGGCTCTGCTCCATTGTCTTCGGGGAAGAAACGGCCACATTATCCCGTGCAACACTTGCCTTTGCATCCACTACAAACAGAAGCATAAAACAGTAATTATCCAGCACAGCAAAGAAGTTATACTGGTTGTATCCATTAATCACGGTGACCTCGCTCTTTAATAAACTAATTCTGAAACGTGGAGCCTCGGGGGGGACCACACAGCGTGCAGCTTGGTTAGAGACCCTGTTGTCTTCCTGTGCTAAATACGAGCTGCCGCTCATCTATCAGATGCGCGTCTGATTTTTCTTTCCTGCCATTCCTCATTGAAGTTGGTGCAAATTTTATGTCCTCCACAGCCCCCTTGCAGCTGCCAAGGGCAGATAACGGCCCAGGTTTTTCACTGCTTAGCCCAGCAGACTTGCTGAGGATATTTTACTTTCCAATTAAAATTAAAGAAGTGATATGCAAAAAAAAATAATCAATAAAATTTGAGACAAAGTTATATGTTAGCATATTACCCTTTCCTCTGTCAAAGTTAAATGGGAAAAAAGAATGGAAACTGCGAGGACTGGTTTCGTTTCCTGGCTTGCCAAACTCCCCACAGGGCTTTGCTGTCATAACTTCCTTCGGTCATTTTTCCAGCGCTGTTCCTTGCCTTGCTGCCTGCTCTCCATAGTGCAGTTTCTACTTGCACTTCTCCCCCACTGTCTGTAAGTTTAAGCCTGATTTGAAGAGTTGTAAATCACATCTGAGCCAGGCTTTCGATCCTTATGTTTCTGACTCTCTTTACCCACCAGCAATATGGCTCTTAATCACATTCCCCTCCCCTCAAAATTCTCACCAAAAATTCCCCCTTGTGTGCACACATGGCCATCACACTTTAAACGTGAAAAAAAATCTTTCATCTTAAAAGTGTATTTTATGGTTTTATATTACAATGGCACTTTGATAGTACAGCTGAGGTGGAAATCCCTCACACTGTATGTGCAGATGGGAAAAGAAGGCTCCCGCTTTACAGAAGACAAAAGGAAAAAGAGACAAAAGAAAAAAAAAATCTTTGTTGTATCCATTTTGTGGATGGGAGACTGAATTGCAGATAATATGGTGCAAACCCCCCGTAAACAAGAGGAGGCTTGTCGAGAGGTAAACCTTGCAGCAACCCCTCAGCCTGAGCTTCTCTTCCCTGCTTTGACTAGAATATATATCTGATTTCCCTGTCAATCATCCCCACAGATTTCAAGGATGAATTTAGATCTACTTAATTATAACTGTGAAAAACTGACAGCCTCAAACTGACTTGCTAAATTGGAACTTTAAAATTGTCAGTTTCAGTGTAAAATTGAAATTATTTCAAATGATAATTGTAATAGTCTAGTCAATATTATGCCTTCACATTTTAATTTAACAGACATAAAACCCCAGATACCAAAACCTGACTAAAACGCCTGTCTTCCCCAGTCCAGATCTTCAGTGTTCTGTTTCATTTTTAAATTCCTTTTTAAGATAAGGAAAGCCAAACTTTTTAAGTCATGGCTTTCAAAACTACGCCTTAGCTTTTCACTGCAAAGTTACCCCAATTTTCCGCTCTCCCCCCAGGATTTTGCATAACACCACACCAGCATCCGCAGGCACCGCACAACACCAGCCTGTGCCCGTCTGATGCGGTTCTCCTGCGGCAGCGCCCGGGGACCCCGGTCATGTCCCGGGGCAGATGCGGGAGGAGAACAGAGCCCCGGCATCCCACCGTGACATCCCCTTCCCGCCGCGTTAACCCGGTGACCGAGAGTCCCCGCCGGACCCTTGCTTCACAGTTCAGCGTTCGTCCCGACTGGCAGGAGGTGGGGGCTTCCATGAACCCGAGAGACGAGAAGTGCCGGAGCGTGCCGGCGCGAATCCCAAGTGACTTTACTGAACCAGCAGCGAAGGCAACGGCTGACAAAGTGCGGGCTGTGGCGGCAGGATTCACAACTGCCACCAGCACTCCACCAGCTGCTGGGGACCTGGCTCCCAACTCCTCGACTTCTCATGTTTTTAACCTGACATTTGCTTTCTTACCGTATTTTGGGCATAGGCAAGCATGCAGGGGGGCGGGAGCGCCGCAGTACAACCTGTTCTGTCCAGGTAAATGGATTTTCACTTCTTTGTGTGCACTCTAATACAGGAAAAATTCTTTCCCTGGATTCTCTCTGTTACTATTCATGTAAGAAAATGACTCACGCTGGCAAGAGTCCTTTGCCAGTAATACTCTTCTGCAATATTTCACGAGCACCTATTTCAACATACCGACACGCAAAGGAAAGGTACGAGTAACCAGCTATTCAGGCACCTATTCGGTCAGGGTCACTGAGTGTCAGAGTTTCCTAAGCCTCCTGTAGTGCTATATGAAAAAGAACTGAAGCACTAACTTCTAATTATAGTTGGAAACTTGGGAAGAAAGCAAAAAGCAAACCCTTCCCCAGCTAAAGAAAGCAGAAACAATATCCATTGGAACATAATTGTAATAGATGCTGAACTTCTGCTTTGTGTAACAGATAAAAGTGAAACGCAAGAAAACTGTCGTTAGTGTAAAAATAGGAATATAGGCTCATCATTAAGAAAGCCAACCAAACAAAAAGTAGCTCATGAACCTATCAAGCTCCTTTTATCTCTAATTATCATGGAAGGAATGAAAGACCTGGCAAATATCACCGGCATGAGCTCTGCAGCATGTCTCTTGTGTCAAAACAGTTCGAGCCGTTTCAGGGAAGGTCTGCTCAGACACCAGGCAAAGCAGATCCCACCACCAGGAAGGAGACACTACTGGGGTGGGCCGAACAGAAGTTTGACTTGTGCCGTATTCACAGCAAAATGGTGAAAGGAAAAGTGTTTGAAATTGTAGTATTTGGATGAAAATGTTGCAGTTTTGACAACACTGTTCAACCTCTCAACGTTTCGTTTCAGTCTTTGATCCCACATAGAGTTTCACTTGTGTCCAGAGTCCCTGCGATTGCTTGTAAAGGCACAATGATGTCCGCAAGGTTTGAGAGCATCGTCGCAGATACCTCCGACTGACTTCTCCAGATTCCCTGATTAAAGCTTAATGGGTCTCTCCAAGTTCACTGGCACTTGGACTGAGCCGCGTAGGGCAGCAAACTCAGCAGCTCCCAACTGCTTGTTGATGGGGGAGCAGTTGGGCTCCGTACCCCCAGGAGGGTCCCACCGTCCCCTTTCTCTGTCAGAACCCTGATAACAAACCCACGCCATTTGTTGCATTCATTCAAACAGCTACAAGCCAGAGCAGAAAGTGCATGAGGTTTGTTTTTTTTTTTTTTTAAAAGAGACACAAGAAGTGCCATTCTTCCCCAAATTATTGCACAATCCAGAGGCAGAATTAGGAATAGAAGCAAACCCTCCCAAATCCTAGGCCAGATCTGCAAGTAGATCAAAGCTGCTCACTCTGAATGAGATGAATAACCGCTCTGATACTAAAATCAATATACAATTTACAGCACTGCTGTGAGATTGCATTTCATACTGCTACTACACAGGCATTTTCCTTTCAAGTATTTAACAAAAGACAGTCACACGACAGAAGATTTGTCCTTCCTTTCCCTCTACTTCATCAGGGGATGTAAAAAAGGCAATACTATAACTGCACAAAGTCTCTCTTCAGTAAGAGCACCCTCAAAATAAGGACATTTTTTCTGAAATTAGCTAGATTGGACCCACATTTTTTCCTTTTCTTATAAGAAAAACTGTACAGAGAAGAGTAATGGTTAGTGCAATGTTATGTCAATACCGTTTCCCTGCTCAGGAGTAATTGCTAACAGACTTTCTCCCCCTTCCTTTTGTATCCTTGACTTTAGCGTTAAGCACTTCCACAGGCTGAGGATGAACAACAGCGCTATGTTTGCTGGCACAGACGGGGATCAAATCTGCAGAATTATCACTGAACGTTAAAAAGCAAGCGCTTAGGTTTTAATAGAGCCAGCAAAGAGAAGATTCTACAAAGCCTTAAGGTGGCCATAAGCTTTAAGTTGCCCATGCGAGCTGCAAAACTGATCCTACAGGTATGGAATTGTTGCTGTTCGTTACGGGCCCTCACGCACCGCGAGCGCCACGGGCAGGCAGCAGAGCTCCGGAAGCATCGGTGCAGGGAGCCTGCGGCGGAGACCCGTTCCACGCGCGTTTGGGACCGGGATCAGCGCTCGGCCAGAGGGAACGGCAGATGTGGGCAGGAATCCCAAGGATGCGACTGGCAGGAAGGGAGGTTCAGAGGCGCCAGTCTGACAAACGAAAAGGCTGCCCCGGCTCTTGTCAGCCGATTTGCTTTTGCTGGTGGCTGGGCACACAACCAGACTTCGGCCTGGCACGTGTAGCCCATGGCAGCCGAACTCCCTCGAGTGGGACCAAAAGCAGTTCTGCCCAGCTCTCCCAGGTTGCCTTCCCCCTTCTCCACTGTAACCTGATTTGCTTTGAGGCTTTGTTTGCTTTTTTTATTCCTGGCAGCAGCCTAAGCCATGTACTGGTAGGCACCTATTTTTGGTGTTGAATTTGCCCAAGTTAAGACAGCATCCGAAGGATGTAAAGCTGGCGCCTTTTCCTCAGCCTTTGATAGCTAAGCTGGTTTCAGCAGTTACACGCACCCTCGCAGCTAATACTTACGTGTGGGGAACACCTAAAAGAAGGCCCTGTGATGTCTTACATAGGCAGCCTCTCACCTCCTGCCATTTATCCTACTGACTTTTCCATAGTGCAAGTCATTTTTAGCTCTTGAATGAGGAGCAACTTGAATTGGCAAGGTCTTCAGCATAGACATCTCCTGTAGGCCATTAGCATGTAAACATGCCATAAAATAAATACTATGAGAAAATGTTTTCTGATATTGTTGCTTTTGACAATAGAAAAAAAATCAGGGTTTGTTTTGTTTTTTTTTAACTGAACTGAGCAGGCCATTGGCTACAAAGGTAGCTTTAGCATCTTTGACTATCTTGAATACAAGCCAGTTGCAGATATTTTGCTTAGCAATGTAATTGTAGTACCACAGCATTGTCTCCTTCCCTGGAGTTCAGATAATCATGGAGACAATAGATTTTAATGGCCATGAAGGAGCCATTAAGGGCTACAAGGCACCATTTGGCACCAAGAAGTCCATCAGTGTAGGCCAGCATGATGGATCGTAATAGCCCTGAATGAATTACTGCAGCAAACACTAGGCTTAAAAATCTAAATACCTAGCAACAAAAGAGTGAGTTTTCTAATTTACATTTCAGATCTATTTTTATAGATATCGTGTAGGTTAATTTTTCCTTCCAATATTTACAACAGACTTGGTATCATAACACTAAGGTAGACGTAGAATTTTCAGATCTCCAAGTGTATCTTGTCTTTGTGTGGGAAATGCCCAAAAACTGTTGACGATACTAAATGACTGACTTTTCAGAAGCATTAGGGAATTCTAAAATAAGGCATTTCCCCCCTTTCTTAAAAAAGAAAACACGTACTAATATTCTTTTGCAATCTCGCTCGACTATTCCATACAAATAAAGTTGACAGTACATTTTTGCTCTAAGAATAATTTTGTTTCACTAAGTTAACTAGCATTGTTATTTACCTAACAGATTTACTGGAAATAATGGCAATAGAGGAAGAGAAGCTAGCAGCAAGAATAGTAGTGATCATTCTTAAAAAAACCCCTAAACTGAAATGCCTTGTGTTTCAGACCTTACAGGCACCCAGAGTTACTGCAATACACCCATTTCTGTTAGATACTGGCTAGCAGCAGAATTTCCTGGATCAGATTTATCCTCTGGAACAGAGGAGTTGCATCTTAACTGATGTTTTCCTTCTTGTGCAATCTTTCTGTTTACGAGCATTAGTAAGCTGCTCACTGGTTTAAGGATTTGCACATAATTGCCAACCAAATACAAACATAATTTTCCCCATTTTGTCCTGATACGTTTCTACTCTATGTAGTGCAAATCTCAGATATACAGCTGTTAGTTCTGGCCCTTTTCCCGTGCCTGTTTTCCACCAAGTACTCACATTATTTGAAGTTCTAAAAGGCGAACGCAACACATTAGGAAAAGTCAGGATCAGATTTGCTATCCTATTACTTGCAGAGCAACACGTCGCGAAGTAGCAGTAAGGGCACCGCCACTATTTACGTGGCGTTGCAGGAGAAGGTGGATGCTAGCACTCTGTGCAGTGTCTGCATCCCTGCTAATCCAGAGGAGCAGGAAAGGCAAGCCATGGAAAGAATCCCTAAGTCCACACATCTGTCAGCCTGTTTGAGCAGAAGCAGCAAATGTAGGGAACCAGTCGCCAATCTGCTCACCCAGATGTGAAGCAGATGGTGACGGGACTCTTCCAAATAACATTACTTCCTCTGGTCATATTAAGTTAACTCTCTGGATTCTTTTTTCATTATATTAGCAGATATAGATTTCATAGACTCATTTATCAACTATACCGTTTAATGCACAGCACATGGTGAGATCACTGGCAATCACAGAAATGCAAACTAACAAGACAAAGACCACAAATATACATCTAGCACTATTAATAAAATCCTCTTGCTTCACTTGCCCTTTTTGCAGCTCTTTTGTCTGCTCCAGAAGTGCTCTCTTTATGACCATAAAATGGATTACAATACTATTCCTGGCATTATTTCATTTTAGAAATACTATCAACTACATTTTCTGTAGGAATAACATCTATCTCCAAACAGCGCTTGCACTTTTGTTTCACCAAGACCTTGACTACATTACAGAAACCAGCGATATTTCAGTGGTATCTAAATAGTTAATGATTTTAACTGCTTTTTAAACATTAATGAACTTAAAATATGAGTAATATCAACACAGGACAGTCCAATTTTTCAACTTGCTACTTAAACGGATTTAGTAATTACATTAATTAGGTAATCCATTTAAGTAAAACAATGCCATATGCTTCATTTTATATGTTAAGAGTAAGATGTACACTTATTTTCTAGGTCTTCAGACAGTGTAAATCATCTGGCTTTTATTTACTTCCCAGAACTCTGCTGGTTTACACCAGCAGAAACACACAGCTACAGGCTTTTATTTTCTAGTAGGCAACAGTTTAAACTGCCTTATTAAAGCTCGATGGCATTAGGAAATTACCCATGGAAGAGAGATTCTGAGCAGTAATCAGTACCATCTGCATATTTCCATGCCAGTCTTTGATTATTTTTGTCTAATCTTAGATTTTTTTTTTTCAACTGGATGTAACAGGCTGAGAGGGTTCTCTTAACAATGAACGATAAAATAATATTTTTCTTTCCTTGCAGAGATTGGAGAGAATTGTTGGGGTTTATTGTATTCTGAAAACAGGAAGAAATCCCAAGCAAGGAAAACACTGGTAAAATTAACGTGGCCAAATCTGCAGAGATGTGAACCGAAGCAGCGCTCCTCCAGACGGGCGCTGCCTCAATGCTGCTCAAAAAGGCTCCAAAGCCAACAAGAGGTGGAAGGAGAAATTAATGAGGCGCTGAAAGGGGAGGCGAGAGACGCATGTCTGTGGATGAGCGCAATTGCCCATGGATATGTGGAGATAACTTCTCAAAACTACTTGGATCAAATGTTTAGTGCTCAGGCCATACAGACCGCACCAGGTTTTCAGGACGGCAGCGCTGGAAGTGGGCTCAGCTGCCGGCAGGCTCCTGCCCTGGTGGGGTCACTGTCCGGCGATGGACACCACCCAAATTGCTCTGAAATGGGATGCCCCGAGTAGTGATTTACCACACCCCAGAGTACCTGATACCTCTCTCTCCCCTCTCCTTGCTCGGTATAGAAGAGCATTGTGCAAGAAGAGCCAAGCCGTGCCAGACACTATTCAACTTCTGCACTAACACCCACGGCGTACGTATAACGGGGGCAGATCAGTTTGATTCATTAGCGTACAGAGAGCGCGAGAACAAGCCCCCAGTGCTCTAGTTGCCCTGGCAGTAGTTGAGTAACTCCTAATACACCCCGTAACAGTAATGGGAGAGAGGTGGTCAGGGTTACGTTGGTCTTGTGACACACTGAGTAACTTCTGGTAAATAGGACTGACCTCTTGGCAATAATGCTGTCAGCCACGCAGCATTCCCAGCTGTCACTTACCTGGCTCTATAAATTACTGTGCTATACCTAAACTCTCTAGAATTCGAATGCCAGCAGTTGACACAGTTAAATTTTGTTTACTAAGATCTCACTGCAGATTAGACGTACTCTGCTCCCTTCAAGGAGGTCGCCTGCCTCTGAACTGAGAGCAAGGTAGGTTTCTGTACGCGAAGGAAACCGCTAAAGCCCAGCTCAGGATCAGAACTGGCATTTCACTGCAAACCCTCAGGTCCAGAGGCAATTATGGTATAACATCATCACTGCAGGTATCGTGCCTACCACCTTACGGTATTTTGCCAGCCATTCACTTTTTCTAAATGACAAACAGGACAGAAAAACATATCTCTCTATATATTTCATTGTCAGCAAATAATTGTTTGGTATCTTTGAAGTCGAAGCAACGCACCTACTCAGGAACACAGGACCAGAAATCAGGGAACAAGATAGAGAAGTTTAGATGAACAAGAAGGCGCTCACATTTTTATCATATCACTTGTTGAAGTTGCTACTGAAAGTATCAGAACTATGGTTTCACAAAAAAACCACAGAGGTAGTTTCTAAGACTTTACAATCTTGCAGATGAGAACACATAGCTAGGACCCAGATTTTATTTTAATTTCTTTTTTTGTAACCAACTTGCAAAGAGTTTTGCCAGATTTTCTTTTATTAATGTTAAACTGCTCAAAACACCCCCAGAAGGCTGAGGGCATGCAGAATGTTTCAAAATAATGTCTTTCCTTGCAGTCACTAGAAGAAGTTCCCCCAAACCAGTTTCCAACTCCCTTCTTCTTGCCTTTGTTTCCCTAATACAATATTACTCCGGACTTTAAATAATTTATGCTAATAACTTCTTTTCTTTTGGACTCACGTGATTCCATCGGCCTTCGCTACACTCAATACTGTAACAGCAGCTTCCAGAGGACTTTGGACATATTTTCCTATCTTGCTCTTTTTTTATCTTTAACCTTTCAAGCTTCTGAAAAGCCACAGGTATTAATTCACAAGTAAGAGCTGAAACAGGGCATCATCTTCTAATTTGAGACCATGCACCAGTATTTATTGTTGCTCCAGCATAAATCTCCCTCTGTCTGGTGGCAGGAGAGGTGTAAACGTGCCACCCTTCCCCAGTACGTACCTTCACCGTTCATTGCAGCAGAGTGAGTCTGAACAAATGCAACAGATCCATTCTTAATACTGTCAGGAGATTCAGATAGAGCCTGAAAGAGCAAATAATACAGTTCTGAGGACTGGGCACACCACAGGATTTGAAAAGCAGCGGCAGCAATGTGCAACAGGCAGGGAAGATGAGAGCGGGCAGCTCTCGGTTACCTGATAGCTCTTTACGGTGCACATATGGTCATCTTCTGCTTCCTCCGGGACACTCACGGTATTGCCCATAGCTCCTGTAACACAGAGGGGAACACCAAACCCAAATAGGCCTTTCTTTCTCGTTAATATGAATTTATTGCCTAATTCCAATTAAGAGACAGCCAATGGTGACAGACTTTGACAGGCTGTTTAAACTCCTGAGAAGCCCTGCCTGCTTTCCCAAAGGCCCTGCCCATCAGGCTGCCCCAGCCAGCCCTCCCCAGCCCTGCTTGGGGCTCACAGCTGCTCGCTGAAAATGGTGCAAACTACCTAACTAACTTGTTTGGTGAGGAAAACTGGGTGCAATCGCACCTGCATCATTCATTAAGGCTCGGTGGATAGTAACGTGGAGTGAGCAGCAGAATAAAGTGAGAAGGACCAAGATATATGAATAAATTGCAGCAGTTTGGTGGGGGTTTATACTTTTGTTTGGTTTTCATTTAAAAAAACAAAAAGAGAGAGAAAAGAGGCAGCATGCAAAGAAATCGTGGATGTAAACTCTGAAAATTAGGCCCTGTATGTCAGGTAGTTATGTACAACAAATCCTCTGGGGAAAATTCTCGCCCGTGGCTGTGGAAGTGCGGGGCCTACTCTAGACAGGCAGAGATGGCGTGAACCAGCCACGGCGGCGTTCGCCGGGGTCCTGGCTCTGCGTTTCGAGCATCTCGTGTTGCCACGGGTGCAGCACTGCTGACGTCCGAGCCGGTCAGTTTAAAATGGCTTTGTCACATTCGTCCCTGCGGGAGTCCCTGCTCTCACTACAACCCAGGCATAATCCCAGCTGGGAGTCAGGCCATTAGACAACCCAACACTTGGCGAAACTGTTCTGATTTCTTTAAACTTTGTTTCAGGAGCAAGGTGCTTGATTGAATTTTAGCCTCTTTCCTATGTACAAGTACACATAAACCTGTTGGGTGGGGGGTTTTTTGGTTGGTTTTCTTTTTTTTTTCCCCCCCTTTAACTTAAAATACATGTATGTACCCTCTGAGCTCACTGTGCTTTAGGACTGTAGATCGTTTGGGGCCAAACACGCTCCCTGCAGCATGGCTGAAGGGCAAACCAGCCTGAAGTCAAGAGGAAGGTTCCTATTGACTTTGGCTCAGGATATATAGGTTTATATACTGTTAAAGCTACACAAATAAACAATAAGGACAAGTTATTCTGAGCCACACCTTGAAAGAGGAAGGTCTCCGAAGAGGAGAAGGCAGAGGGCTGGGTGCAGCTCCAGCCTCGGTGCTCATCCTGTTGGATGTCCTGCACGGCCACCATGGGGATCACCATGGGCATCACCATGGGCAACAAGAGCTCTGCTCTTTTATTAGCGCTCTGCTTTATGCCTCTATGGATCCGTGAAGCTGCAGAGGCGTGGATGAGAGCAACTGCTTCAGTGTTTTAATTAAACAGCCCTTGGCTAGTGGAGAAGAGAGGGAAAAGCGTAGTTGTGCTAAATCACGTTCAGTAGAAATTGAATGCGAGAACTGGGGGCAGCTCTCCTTCCAGCCCACGGCCCCGCGGTTCTGCTGCCGGCTCCTGGTTCCAGAGCTAGGCTGGCTGCGGGCTTTTGCTAACCCCGATCTACAAACCTTTGCTTTACAGGGATGGTCCAGATCTGGTTTCTATTTTATGCTGCATCCTAGCTGAGGTGAAAGCCAAGCCGGGCCTCTCTCCAGAGATGGTTATTGTTCTCTGCTCAGTGCCCAGTGCTGCGCTGGACGCTGAGCGGCCCCCGCTGATGCTGAAACGTGAACTGCAGTCGTGCTGCCGAGAATCGCCGCAAAAATAGTGGCTGTAGGACTGAACCTCGATTTCAGAGTGCAGAGTTATTTCACAGGGGTTTTATCTTTTCAGCTGATATTTCCACTATAAACCAGAACTTCTGATTTATGGTGGAAAACAGCCAAAATGTTTCCCCATGGATGTACAATGGCCTCTTGTCCTCGCTATGTAATTCTGTTTCCTAGCAACTTTAAGTATTATCCTATGGGAAGAGAAGAAAGCAAGATTCAAATCCTCCTGCTTAGTCTCGATAGTAAATTTAGTATCTGCTTGAATCTGGAGGATTTACTTTTGTTTTCCATTCACAAGGCCGCCTGGTTTATGCCAAGAGACAACTTAAGCAGAGGATGGGATATTTGCAGGTTACGTGCTTCCTTTCTCACATGTGCTGTAAAATCAGTACGTATCTGCGGGGAGTAAGAGAAGCAAATTCCTTGGGTTTTATTCTTTTATTTTGACAATGATTTGTAGCTTGATTCTCAATTACTCTGGTTTCCTGTTGATGCAGCTCTGCTCACGTCAGGTAAGTTATCTTTAACTGATGCAGAGCAGAGATCACAGGCTCTGATCTCTGGCGTATTTTACTCTAGGAGAGATTACCCATTTTCTACAATCAAGTTTATAATTCTCACTGAAATAAAACACACACAGTGGTCATGGGGAAATTTTAAAGATTTTTGCCTCAGCAGAACCCTCTCTCTCATGGAAAGCTGGACAAGACTTGGAGGCGATTTTTGCTAAAAATGGGACAAACTTGCTACATATCCCTCTCGGAACATGATCCCAAAACACCAAACAGAGTTCTCCACCATGCACATATATACGTCTTCAGACTTCTTCCCTCCTTACAACAGTAATCGAGTATTTTATTGCGCTGATTACAACTGCACATGTGGCATGCTCTGGGGCAAAGTGGCTACTGGGGAAAGGGGACCAGAGTGTGGCCACTGCTCTGGGTACAGAGCTCAGGCAGTGGCACAGCCTCACAGCCCTGGCCCAGATCCTGTAGTAAAATTAGGAAGATACCTATGTATGTATGCTCCTGCCTTATTTTACAGAAAAAATGAAAGGTCACTGCCACCTATAGACAAAACCGGGTATCAGCAGAAGTGATAGCACACACATACAAAATGGTATCAAACTGGCAGAGTTTCAAGTTGCCAAGCAAGTAATGTCACAGCTATTCGCTTCTGCCATGGCATCTAGAAATTGCTGCTGCAGAGACTATTGCATCTGATTGCACCCACATGCGGCTCTAGATTTGCATAAACGAGCAACCCCAGCTCGGTCATTAACATGAAATGGTTACTTTTTTCCCAAAGTGCTCGGTACTCTAGTTTATATGAACTCATCCGTTTTTTTTCTTTCATTTGAAACACCTTCTCTTGAAGCTAAAATTACTAAATGTGGAGCCAAGGAGGTTTTTGGAAAAATAAGGGACTCGCACAAGGCTCTCACTTGGTGTCTTTTTTCACCAACGTGTTTACAAAGACCACCATTTTGAACGTGGGCTGCCAAAAGCGAAGCACCAAGCCCCATTTTGTCACCCAGCTAAAGTCCTCACACGAGCAAGCGGGCAGTCAGAAGATGCTGGGGGCTCCCAGCGTGCAGGGACTTGCCTGAGAACCACCAGTCTTGGGGACCTCTCAGGGTCTGGCACACGCCTGTTCCTAGCAGGCGGAATCGGACGTTGTCAACCACTGAGGACCTCTGTCCAGCTGAGCACCCTACGCTATCTCTTGGGGTGCTGACTTGGTCTCTCCGTTGGGTGTTTTTGGTCTGTCTCGGCTATTAATCATGGTTATTTATTAGCGGTACAACCACCAGGCAGGACCTATTTGTGTCCTTGGTTCTACGTCTGAAAAGCACAACGCTGATCTCTGTAGTAAGCTGTGAGTACGGAGCAAACCTCCACCAGACGTGCGAGGGGTTGCTGGCAAGATGTCTGTTTTATGAGAGGAGGTTTGACAACATTTAGAGACAAGACAATTTTCAAGGATCGAGAGCAGAAAAGAGATGATCCTGATGCAAGAACACTTTTATTTTCAAAATGAGAAGAAAACCCTTAGATGTCGAGAGGAACTGGAGTAAGCTCATTCTCATCCTTAGGCTTCCTTTCTAGATACAGATTTTTCGATTAAGTTTCGAGGACATTATCCTCACGGGGGGCTCGTTCAGCCCAGCTGGAATGCAGCCCGACTGGTTTAAAATGAACACGCGCTGCCAGCCTCCCGATCAGACAGAGCTCTGAAACAGTTCCGTTCCCAAATTATGCTTCACTGCTTCTATTGTAATGCAGAAAATAACTCAAAAGAAAATTGTAATTTTTAGATTTTTTTTAATGTTATATGAACCGTAGTGTGCCCCGAGCATGAGCTCAAGGCTTGGTAAAATCCTCCTTTTGCTCTCACTCTCAAAAATCATTGTTTTGGTCCTGGCAGAGCGGTGAAAGCTTTGGAAAATACAAGAGAAAATTATAACAAAATCCATGATCTACTGTGTACTCTGGCAAAAGCCAGATACGCCTGACCTTTCAAATGTATTGACTAACCCAGAATATTACAATCGCCTGTGTCACAGTGTCTGTTAATATGAAAAGTACCCAGTTAATTCCTCACTAAAACTTGCCATATGTTGTACTTAAACATCAGAAAATAATAATAATCAACTTTACTTAGTTCTCTTTGCGTCTCATTTCATTATAGATACGTCCACTCTGCAAGCGTCGGGGAAGGACTTTTAAATATTAACTCGCGTATATTCCAGAGGCAGAGGAAGGACCTCGCAGGTGTTAATTCGTGCAGAAAGCAGCCTGCCTTGGATCCGCTTTAGTACATCCCTGGCCCTTATCCTGCCTCTTGGAAAAGAGGTGAACACGGGGACGTGTCCGTCAGTGTCCAGCTAGAAAGGCAGAAGCTCCTGCTCTGTTTCAAGCGGAGACAAGGAAGAACGCATCATAGGATAGGGTTTTAGAAAGTCTCCTTACCTTCCTTCAGCGCGGCTCTCAATTGCTCTCCTGCAGAAAAAGACAACTCAGACACGTGCTGGGTATGATGAAACCAGGGGACAGATGGATCTGAGCATTGTCAGCGGCTGAGGAGGAGAAGTGGACACACAATAGACAGTAGTGAAGGGACAGGAGGAGGAAGGATTGAGATGACTCACCCCAGGGCAAACAAGAAACACCCAAGAACAATTTGAATAGCAACCTGGCAGCTGGCCGTGCATCCAGGACATGCAGAATTACAGTCCTT